TAAGGATAGCAGTTATTTTATCAAATTGTGCATGTGGTGTATTCCGCAATCTTTAATGCTCCAGCCTTAGATTTTAACACACAGGAAAATAGCATTGCTTCTGCCTGTATAGTTTTGATCAGGGTGGTCTGCTTTTTAAGTGAAGTGGCTGGAAATTTTGAAACCCTGTTCATAGAGTTCTGCTCTTAGCAGGTGGGAGTTGTCCTGAAGGTTTCACACTCAAATTCCAGACACATGTTCCATCCAAATGGATGAAATTCAAAGCTGGCTCTGTGAAGTCATTCAGTTAACCCTTCTAATTAGGATTCTAAGACAGAATACCTTTTTTGTCACATTTCTATTTGTCCGCGATCATCATCTAAATGCCAGAGCACTTAACTGCAGATGCTGGAGCCTAAACTGAAAACAAAAAAGTGCTGGAAATCACAGCGGGTCAGGCAGCATCCATGGAGACAGAGCAGGATAAGGTTTTGAGTCAATTTGTTGCATTCTCTGTCACTGTATCTTCTTTCCCCTGCCCCTGCTGCAGTGGGACTATCTGTTCTTTCCAGTCTGGCAGTTAGACACACCGTTGTTCTGCCCTACTCACATTCCAATCACTCAAACTACAGTTTCGACAGCATCTCCCCCAAACCACCACCACCCCCCCAGCACTCAACCCCCACCACTATTGGTTAAATGCTGCTCCCTCCATACTTCACGTCAGCTTTGAAATGTCATCTAGACTCAAAGTGTTAGCTTGCTTTTTCTTTCCATGCATGCTGCCTGACCTGCTGTGACCTCCAGCAGTTTTTGTTTTCACTTCTTCTAAATGCCCCCGGTTGAGTTTTGAGATAACGGTATCAACTTTAACTCTCTTTGTCATCTAGATTTTGGGATGGCAACTGTATTGGGTCTGTCTGAGTGTGAAACTCTTATGGAGGCCAGCATGAAGTTGGACAAAAGATCTTGATAACAATACTCCGAGATAGTAACAACTGCCGATGCTGAAGTCAGAGATAACAGCGTGGAGCTGAAGGAACACAGCAGGCCAGGCAGCACCAGATGATGAGCAGGAAAGTTGACGTTTCACGTCAAGACCCTTCTTATTTCTGAAGAAGGGTCTCGACCCGAAACATCAACTTTCCTGCTCCTCTGATGCTGCCTGGCCTGCTGTGTTCCTCCAGCTCCACACTAAAGTATTGATAACATTGCTTCCTTGAACTGGGACCACCTGCCTGGGTTAAAAGAATGAATTTTGGACAGCTTACCTCACTAACTTCACAGAAAAGTGAAACCTTTTAAATCACTGGACATTCATCAGGTTCAGATCATTGATAAGTGAAACCAGTTCTCATTTGGACTTCACCTGATGAAGGAGCAGTGGTTTGAAAGCTTGTGATTTCAAATAAACCTGTTGGACTATAACCTGATATTGTGTGACTACTGACCACATTTGGACCTCTTATACACTTTGAATGAAGTCCAGCTGGTCATGCCACCCCTTCTCTTGAGCTTTTAACAATTCATTGGAAGGAACGGTGCACTGAATTTTTCATGGGCCGCCTTCACTCAGGAAGCAACTGTTTGGGTTTTCCCTTCTAGCACGGCTAGGGCTTTCTGACCCTTTTTGTTTACGCTTGGAATGGCGTGCTCTGGGCTACCAAGATTATTGTTGTGCTGGAGGTGGGGGATGTTGGTTGAATGTAAATTTCCAAGACTTTAGAGTCGAGTAAAGAGAAACCCCAGGAAATCCCAGCGTGGTACAGGATGGGCTAAGACCTGTCAAAATATACTTCCTATAATTTAGAAGGGTGATGCTCTCCACTTGCCTGGATAGGTGTAACTGCTCTAACAGCAACACTGTTCAGTCTCAACCAGAAGAACAAAGCAGTCTGCATAATTAACGCTCCAACTCACCAACTGGAACAACTGCTCTCTCCACATTGGGCTGCCTCATGGTGCAGTATACAATCTAAAAGTTGCAAATCAGCAAGTCATAGAACCGTACACCATGGAAACAGACTCTTCAGTCCAACTCGTCCACGTCGATATCTTTAATTAATCTAGTCCCATTTGCTGGCATTTGGCCCATATCCCTCGAAACCCTTCCTATTCATATACCCATTCAAATGCCTTTTAAACGTTGTAATCGTACCAGCCGCCACCACTTCCTCTAGCAGCTTAGTTTTGGATTCACCACCCTCCCCTGCCCCCCAGGGAAAAGGCCTTGGCTATTCGCCCTATCTATGCCCCTCATGATTTTATAAACCTCTGTAAGGTCGCCCGTCAGCCTCCAACACTCCAAAGAAAATAGCCCCAGCCTCTCTCTATAGCTCAAACTCTTCAACTCTGGCAACATCCATGTAAATCTTTTCTGCACCCTCTCAAGTTCCACAACATCTTTCCTATATCTGGGAGACCAGAACTGAATGCAGTATTCCAAAAGTGGCTTAACCAAAGCCCTCACCAAGGCTACCTCAGCACCTCACAAACCTGTGACTTGCAGCAGCAAGAATGCCAGTTGGAATATACACAAATGCCTGCAAGTCGCTCGTTCACCATCTCTGAGTCAAACTTCTGTTCACCAGACAAACTGCAGCAGTTCAAGAAATATGCTCACTGCCGCCCTTGCATGGGTGACTGGGGACAAGCGATACATCAGCCTTAAAGATGGCAGCCATATCCTAAGAATGGGCAAAAAAACTTCTAGGCTGCCAAGAAGGTTCAAATCTCATTAGCTAGATAACTCTGAACATTTAAGGGCATAAGAAAATGTAGGCCGGGTGACCAAATGAGCCTACTCTGTTATTAAGTAAGAATATAGTGGAGCTTTGACGTAGAGTTCAGTTTCCTGCACTATCCCTGTATCCGTTCGTCACCAAAAATAAAACGATTGCAGCACTGAATATTGTCGGTGATTCTGGATCACTGATTTGCACACATTTGCTTTCTTAGATAGCAGTATGATAATAACCAGAGAACCTGCTTTTTGTGATGTTGTTTGAAGAACGTTGAGGATTAATCATCTGCTCTTCTTTGAAGTCATGCTTTGAGAAATTTTTAGAACTCTTTCAAAAGCCAGGGTATTGGCTTAATCTCCCACCTGTAATGGAATACCCCCATGTTACACCATGACGGAGACATCACAGGAATAAACTCTATCCTGCTTATTAGGCCCTTTGTTCCCCACAATTTTTAAAAAAGTTCTTTGTGTCTAGGCACCCCCTTTGCCTCAGTTGAACGCTTTCTCACCAAAGTCAAACAGTTGTGTGTCTGGGGAGGCAATGACTTAGTGGTATTATCACTGGACTGTTAACCCAGAGACCCAGTAATGTTCTGGGTGGAATTTGAATTCAGTAAAAATCAATCTGGAATTATGAATCCATTGTCAATTGTTGGAAAAACAGTAGCTCAGTGGTAAGCACTGTTGCCTCATTGTAGCAGTGACCCGGGTTCAATTCCAGCCTCGGGCGACTGTCTGTGTGGAGTTTGTACATTCTCCCCGTGTCTGTGTGGGTTTCCCCCCCCCCCCCCCCCCACCAGTCCAAAGATGTGCAGGTTGGGTGGATTGGCCATGGGAATTGCCCATAGTGCATGGGGATGTGTAGGCTAGGTGGATTAGCCATGGGAAATGCAGGGTAACAGGGGTAGTGTAGTGAGACTCTGGGTGGGATGCTCTCCGGAGAGTCGGTGTGGACTTGTGGGGCCAAATGGCCTGTTTCCATACTGGAGAGATGCTATGAAACCATCTGGTTCACTAATGCCCTTCAGGGAAGGAAACTGCCATCCTTACCTGGTCTGCCTGTGTGTGACTCCAGACCCACAGCGACATGGTTGACTCTTAAGTGCCCTCTGGGCAATTAGGGATGGGCAATAAATGCTGCCTAGCCAGTGATACCCTCATCCCATGAATGAATAATAAAGAAAGTTGCATTCTTGACACAGGAACCTATAATCCATGCTGAAACTCTGGTGCAGTCTCATCTAGTTAGCGCAGATGTATAACAACAGTTTTTCTTAAGGTTATTACCCCACGTAAATCACGTGAGCAGTAGTGGAATGTATTGCTGTGATATCTCCTTCATAGTGTACTATGAAAGTGCCATTTACTTTGGTTTTTGAGTGCTTTGGTCTGCCCAGAGATCATGAAAAGTTAAAGATAAATGCAATTGATTCTTTCTCCTGTTGTAAAGATAGATGCCAGGTATTTGTTTAATGTCACTGCTATCCTTATTCCCTGTAATAATTTCTCATATCTCTAAAGAACCTATATTTAATTTGGCTAATTTCTCCCTTTTCTATATTCTCTTACAATCTGTCTTTATGTTTCTTGTTAGTTTACTCTGGTTCTCTTTGCTCCCTCTTCATCAGTTTCCGAGTCATGCCTTGCTGATGTCTCAAATTGTCAGGCTCACTGCTCTTTTGGAAGATACCAAATGTAAAGTAAACTTTCTTTAATCTAATACTATACTTAACTCTCTTAGTTAGCATTAACTGTACTATTTTTACTGCCGATCTTTTAATCCCTTGAGGAAATGTATGTCCATTGAGTATTATGAATTATTTCTTCAAGTATTTGTAATTGTTTTTCTTCTCATCTTTTAATTTAATATTCCAATCCATCTCAGCCAACCTGTTCCTCATTTAACATTTTATGACCCTAGTTTTAGCCCTGACAATAAATTTAAAAATGTAAAATGAAATTCTGTTATGCTATGTTCACTCTCCTCCAGAGGATCCCTTACATTACTGGAGCTGATCAACCCAGTCCCTTTGTGAAATGCTAGGTTTAAAGTCTATTTGTCTGTATCAGTGAAGCATGCCAGATAAATGCTTAGAAAGTTGGCTTTTGCAGGGAGTTAATGTGTCGATAATGCTACAAGCCCCATTAACATTGCTATCAGCGTATACACAGTTTTCAACATCCTGTGCTTTAGATCTCTAAAAGTACTCATAGTAGGCAGCATTTCCATGAGAATTTGTAATACATTTGAATAAATAAATCTAAAACATGTAAATATTCTCAACTGCAAGCAGTTTACTGGCAAATCTTTCAGATAATCAGAAATAAATTAATAATATTATCACAAAAATAGCAGCAAATCACAACAGCACTACAGGATTTCTAACAGTCCTCAGTTGCTTCCATCCCTAAAACATTAAGTACTGTTTACATCTTTCAAAACATTAGCATGATTACCACGACACAGCGTGAAATCCAGCTGTGTTCCTATAGGAGACTTGGGAATCATCAAACTCGTGCATGAGGTCCGCAAAGTATTCTCTTCACCTTGTAAATGTGCACTTGAATAATTTTGTAGCATGTACAAATGAATTGTCTCAAGTATCTAATGCCACAGCAAACTTAAAGGTACTTTTCTTTCGAGCCTTGATTCATTGCTGCAAAAACAATATCTTTGTCGCAACACAGCAGCTAAGTGAACAGTGCAGAATGCCTTTTAGTGATTCCATTTATATTTGCATTGCTCTTATTGTCTCTTCCAAATTCAGCAGGATATAGAGAACAAGCTAGAAGAGAGTTGTTGGCGTAAATGTTCTGTAAAATCCACCTGTGCCTGTGACAATGCTTGATTGATCAGGGATTTTGGCAGCCAACCCTATTGATAAAGAAAAACAGAAAAGGCATCTTCAGTCAAGAGTTCTGACGTTTTGAAACTTATGAACACTAAACATTTGTATTTAAATGCATAATATTTGAAGAGAAATTAACAGACCCAGGAATTTTAGAAATTTTAATAAATTGTTATTAATAATTGACTTCTGATAATGAGTATTCTCTGGAAGTCTTTATTGTGGCACCAAGGCATACAGTTGGGAAGATCTCCACGTCTATCACTAGTTAATCATACCAGTGAAGGCAGTACCATTAGAACCAACTGCTCCTAACCTTGACCATGCAGAGGACCTTGAGGTTCATGCTGTAGCTAAGCTCATTACAGAGTTGTGTACAATTATGTGTCATAACAGTGTTAAAATGGGACATTGCCAATGGTCAATCACTGACACCAAGAATGAAAGCCTTTGTGACTCACACCTCCAGAGGTGGTGTCATTCTCACTATGAGCTTGATTGGAAAATTGTGGGCACAGTTGCTGCCATGTTGCAATAAGGCATTTACTGCATGCAGAGCTCAGCTACTGTCACAGAGCTTTGGAAGATATTCTAATCTGCCAGGTTAATGTTTAACAAGTGGGGACTTTGAGGCAGTGCATTTGGAGCTCTCTGATATCACTGACAGTGAGAGACAAAGCAAGAGGAGAGAAATACTACATCAAGTCACTAACGAACCTTCAGGTCCATGCTGAGAAGCCAAGTAAATCGTGTCTTGTTCTTGGTGTCTGCAGGATGTAGGATAATACACGAAATCCCAGTTTCACCTCTGTTTGGAAGAAAACATATATTAGAAATCAGTGTTTCACAGCGTTAGTAATTTGTATTAGTGGTCTACTTGAATGAATTGATTCTACAGCTATTCTGTACCTCACAAAGCCTTTCTGTGGTGGCATGAATTTGGATTCAGTGGCTATTCCCGTCAAGTAGCAGTAAGGTCCTTCTTTCCAGCAATGCCTCACACTCACAAAGTCTCTCTGTCCAATGATGTTTCCGGCTGTGTCTCCCATGATTTCATAAGTCACCATGGTTTCTTTGCCAATTTTCTGCAGGACCTGAATGAATTGTCAAGAAACATTTGTCAAGATTATATTCCCAGGTAAACTTTCCAGTGAATGTTTAGCGTGTGAAAGATGTGAGGATTTCCTGTTAACCTACATGCAAGTGTTTGATGCTTGGATTCCATGAGCTCATTTGGTCAATTTTCTCATAAAGCTCGTTATACACGTGTTCCGTAGTTGCATTCAGCACACCCTCCAATTTGAAGACTTTTCCAATTCCAGGTAGAACTTTGCTCAGAACATTGTCACCGTTCTCCTGCAAGAAGAGATAAGCATTTCTTGTTAAAATTTTTCATTGTCACTGTTTAGCAGCTTTGTATCATCATATTACGTCACTGGGCTAGTGTATTTGTTGCCCACCGTATGATCCACCCAACTTGCTCCTGTTCAATTGGGAGCCTTGGGGGGCATCACAATGACTTCATCCCTGCTCCCACCAACATAGATGCACAACCAGCAGAAGGCCGTATATAGCCCCTAGGCATAGCAATCATTGATGGCTTTTAAGGACCAATGCCCAGTCCTTAATTTGACTGGAGTGAAATTAACTTAGAACATGTGTACATCAAAGCCGGCTCCAGAGAGTTGAAATGCCACAATACAGATTTGACCTCTGAACTATCATTATAGCCTTTCCCTTAATGTGTTGAATTAATCTAAGTGCTTTGGTGTCATAATAATGTGACCAATAAGACAGCACCATTTCATACTCAATCATTCTTAGAGGTCTGGGAAAGTCTGCAGCTAATTTTCATGACTCAATCACCCCAGGAGATTTCATAACTATCATGTTTTTCACTTGTTTCAAAGCATTCATAAATAGGAAAATAGCAAATGTTACCCTGTTTTTCAAGAACAGGAAGAGATTGAAAACTGAGAATGATGACCCATCAGCCAGGCATCAGTTGTAGGGAAAATGCTTTTAAGGCTGTGATAACAGAGTATTTGACAATATGATGAGGCAGTTATATGAAAGGATAATCATATTTGATTAATCTCAATTGATGAGTATACTTAAGATGGTAATTGCTAGATTTTGGATGTTAATGAATGTGGGGAATGGGGCAGGATTGCAGAGCTGACCCAGAAATTCAGCTGTGATCTTATTGAATGGTGGAACAAGATCAAGTATGATCTATATGATCACCTCCTGGTCCTATTTCATATATTAGGAAGAAAATTACCGTTTTGATTTCTGTTGTCCATCCAGCATCCTGGCTTAAAATCCCCAGAGCCTTTTGTAAAGCATCTTCCCCTTGCTTCACATAGGACAGTTCGTCAGTGTTGAGAGTCCGTTTTATTTCCAATCTTTCGTCTTCGATCTTAGGAGCTGTAATAAAACCCAACATTATAGCGCAATGTACAACAAACAAAGTTTTCTTCCCAAGACATTTCACTTCTGTATTTTGACAAGTATTTGACTAGCTTGGGAAATGTTATTTAGGCAGTTGCAGGCTTGTATCTTGCTCAAATAAAACTATCTCTCCACTTTATTGCAAACCCCTTTGTTTTTCCCGCTCTTCCACCTTGTTATGGTACCGTGGTTCATTTCCAACCATGGCTCCATCCTGCCTGATTAAAATCCAACAATCCAGTTACCAAGGGATGTTAATCAGTCCTTATTAGAACCAAGTGATTTGTTGATACATACACCCTCCCTACTGTACTGTTATTGCGTTGCTGTCACTCTGGTGACTGGACTCCGTTATAACCAAAGTTTGAACCCAGGGCCCCCATGGACTTGCACCTTTAATGGAGCTGTGCATTTAATTATCATCAAACTATTGCTGAAAACCCTAAAGCATGGAATTACTTTTAATAAAATTTGTGGATCCTAGTGCTAACTACCACAACAGCATAAAGAGAGCACGAAACTGTCAAAAAAAAAAGCTGCTTACCTGAGTGAGGTTTCTGGGCTAGAGAATCCCAAGGTCCTGACAAAAAATTGTCTTTAATTTTCATTCTTCTCATTCCATGTGTTAGGGCAGCTACTGCAGTCCTCTTCAATCCTGAATGAATAAAGAAATTGAAATTATTCAAATCAGTTCTTCTAACTTGTCTTAGTGCACGAATGGCTCGCAGTGTAGAAACAGATACATTTGTTATTACAATCTGTTTCATTCAAAGTAACCTACACTTCAAAGTTAACATTAACATTCCCAATTCACTGCATCATTTAATTTCAAACAAATTTAATGATTGACTTTTAGACGAAAAATCTTTGAAGTCTAAGATTCTGCACACATTGCAAAATGCTTAAACAGTTCTTTTTTTTTAAAAAAAGGAAAGTGGGTATGCATTTACCTGTCATGTTCCTGAAATGCTGATGTGAGATTCCACAGCACAGTTTGAATGTTGCTGGAAGCATGGTTTTCAGCTAATACCTGCTCTGTTCTGAGCTTGTGCCGAACTTGCACAGTTTCTTTGGATTTATATTCAGTGTTCGAAGGCCAGTATCTTTGATAAGGAAAGTGCAGAGAGATACCCACCAGATGAACAGAGTATTCAAGGACAGCAGAGAGAGCGATGAATGTAGCACTATCAGAGGGCACTTTTTGATAGCCTCCTGAGTAATGTAATGTGAGATGAAGAATTACTCACTGATGGCCTCAGGCATTTCTTCACTTGCTGCCGTATGGCAACAAAAATTGGCAAATCGTTTAAATAATTGGAGGGAGCTGATCCTAAAGCAATTCAGCCCCCTCAAATGTCATTGTCTGTACCCTGTGTGCACATTTGCAAAGTGAAGTACACGATGCTGAGAATTCAGTGTGTGGGCCTGATCCAAAATCGCCCACTGATTGGGAATGTCCCTTGGGGGGTTAACTATTCAACCAACCTGTCTTAACTTTAACCCTTTCCTCAACTAACCACAAAGCAAACACACTTTATTGTCCAGTCGGATAACTCACTCAGACAGCCTTTTCTTTCTTCCCCTCAATCCCCAATATTTTTAAAAGCAAGAAATGAAGATGTTTGAGGAAAATGAAAGGAGGAGTTTGTTATAGCTTTTAGGCCTAAAGAGCAGGGGGAGAAAGCGGGAACAGGGGACTGAGTTGGATGATCAGCCATGATCATGTTGAATGACAAAGCAGGCTCGAACGGCCAAATGGCCTACTCCTTTTTTTTGCTCACTGTAAAACAAAAGGGTTAATTGTAGTCCAGATCAGTAACTAATTCTCAGAGGTTGATAGCCTCTTGGCCAAAATTTGTCCGAAAGGAGAACAAAACAATCAGGCTGAGGCTTCAAGCAGCCAAAGCTACAATGAGTTGAAAAAAAAAATTGGTGAGGGCAATGGATGGGAGATATTTTGCACACTGTTCATACATTGTAATATGTTCTTCCTCACCTGGAGCTTTGTTAAACCAAAGCAACACCTTCCTGTATCAGTGGTGCAGCAAATGTCACTACTTAAAGAGTTGGGAATTCTATTGGCACCTGGGCAACAATGCTTCTACCAAACTAGAAGGAATAAGCAGCTAAAATGCTCATTCAGCTCATTGTTGCAAATTTGAAGAGACATCCGCACCTCTACCTCACCCGTAGCAATGTCATTTGTCAGTTCTTTCATTTCTAACGTTCCAAAACGCTTTCAACAAGAGGATAGATTTTGAGACTCCAGAAACTGTAGTTCTGCAGTAGTTCAGTCTCAATTAAAGTCCCAAATAATTCAGGGATTTACCTGCAGAAACTTATCATGTTTTAAAGCAAATGGAAGAGATAGGAAAGAGAAAAGGAAGAGGGAAGAAATAAAACCAGTGAGATTAGTGACAAGAGCAAAGCGACAGACCTAAATAGGAGGCAATAGATGGCTGGTGGCAAGAGAAATAAATTTAGATCTTAGAAATTCAAAGATAGCATCAATCTGTTATCTTCTGATCTACAGTACCCTGCCTTCAAACAAAAGTTAGCACATTACAAGACAACATCACATCTCCTTGCAACTTGATTATTTTAAAATATGTTCTGTGACTTAATGTGTTATGCAGCATTTGTAGATTATTCATATTCAACTTTTGGTGTCAGTCATTTGTAAGTTCTTGTGCCAACCACAAGGGGATAGTATTGTGATTTCTGTGGTTCTGCTTTCCCAGTGTGTGCTTAATGAAAAAAAATCTGAATTTGTCGCACTTTTAACAAGGAATTTTACAGGAGCATTATCCACCAGAATCTGACACCAAGTCACATAGGACGTATTATTGCAGGTGACTGAAAGCTTGGTCTAAAATTTAAGAAGTGTCTTAAAGAAGGAAAGTGAGGAAGAGACAAAGAGAGACTTCAGGAGGGAATTCCAGAATTTGAGATCCAGGCAATTGAAGGCTTAGCCACATCTGGAGCAGTTGTGATGGGCAAAGCACAAGAGCCCAGAATTAGAGGAGTGTGGATATCACTGAGGATTGTAGGGCTGGAGGAGATAACAGAAAGTGGTGAATGTACGGAGATTGTTAAACATAAATGTGAACATTTTAAAATTGAGGCTTTGCTTAAACTGGGTGCCAGAGAGAGGACAGTGGGAGGCAAACCGGGAGTGTCTGAAGTAGTCAAGACTAGAAATAACAACAATGTAACTTCAGTGCATGTAAATTGAGGCAGGGGTGGATTTCAGTGACTCTAAAGAAGCAGGAATCAGTCAACATATTGAAAATGTGGCTAGAAGCTTAGCTTCAGCTAGTTGCCAGGCAGCGTAGGTCCTGGCCAACTGAGTTTGAGGCAGGGACCAAAGAATAACGTTTGGCCTTTTTTGTGTTCTGTGCCACCATCAGTATGTGAGTACCTTTTAAGAGACATACTCATGAGGGTATAAAGATCTCCGATTCCATCCTACTTTGGATGATATTAAGCATGACACTCTACTGGAAGTTTGCTCCTCTATTGTAACTTGATAATTTAATAGTAGATCAGACGCTTATGCGCCTGAGGAATATAATGTTTATAAATAATAGTCATAACAAATGTCTGTTAGATTCTTCAATGCCATGGAATACACACCCAGTTTCTTGTATTATGACAGATAGATAAGCATTGAGTAAAGAACCCTGTCGGAGGCAAACTCATAACATCCCAGTGTTTGGTTGGAATTGAATTAAAAGAACCAATTGAGTAAAATGTGAGACACACAGCCATTAGCTCTGTGGTAAGTGCTTTAGCAATAACCTGCCTGTGTACATTTCACCTCCAGCCTCTCAACAAACAAAGAAGCATATAACAAAATAAAGATATGTTGTGGGAGTATAAACTGGATGTGAGAAAGAGGAACAAATATGGGAAGGCAGGGTAAGTTCCAAAACTCTCGTTAGTAAGATTCCACTTTTTTCCACATTACTATGCATTAGATTAATTCCTTGTCTTTTTGGATGAATCTAATGCCAAAGCAGATTTCAAGAGTTACTGATTAAAGAAAAGCAGTTTTACAGCTCCTTGAACCAATGATCGATCAATAAATTTGATTAACTCCAGCCTCATAACAGCACTGTCAAAACAAGTGACGTTTTTTCAAAGCTTTAACCTGTACAGGCATGCTAGTCAGCAATTGAAAGTGACTGACATACAGTGAATGGAAATACTTTATTCAAAGAATTGTTGCAAGTGGAATGCTTTACCAAAGAGAGTGCAAACAACTGGGACTGTTGTATTTTATAATGACTTTACAGCCCTGCACTTGTCTTAGCTTTGAGAGAGCTCAGGACAGTGGAATGTTCAAACAAGGAATCTAATTTTTGGCTTGTCAATTACATGTAAGAAATATATCACTTTTGAGAAAAACAATTGATGGGTAAAGAGGTTTCCTCAGCATTTTGTGAGATCCCACTACTTTATTTTGCTTTCTTTTTATGACCAAATTATAATTAATAAAAGTAAATTTATAATTTAAAAATTCAGATGTAAGCCAATTCAATAAAAGAAGGCAGCAGGACTTGGATTTAAATAACGCGTTTGATGTCTTTAGAACATACTAAAGCACTTTATAGCCAATGAGATTCTTTTGAAATGTCAGCACTGTTGAATTGCAGCAGCTGATGTGCTCACAGCAAGATCCTACAAACCACAATCAGGTAACAACAGCTTTAATAAAGTGGCTTTGACTGAGAGATCAATTGAAGCTTGGAAACGAGGGAAGACTCCCCAGTTCGTCTTCGAATAGCATCATGTGATTGTTGACAATCATAATGATATTGTAGGCTCAAAGGGCCGAATGGCCTACGCCTGAACCTACTCTCTATGCTTCTATGTAAAACTGCCACATGCCCCCAAACACCACAGCCCCAACCACACACACCCCCCCCCCCCCCCCCCCTCCCCCCCCTTTCCTTCTTCTGCCCCCCCACCCCCAGCAAGGAGAGGGTTGAGTATCTCAGCAGGACAGCAGAAACTCGGACAATGTCACACTGAAGTGGGGAGGGGGTCAACCTAAATATTACCTGCTCAAAGCCGATCATTTCACCAAATGTTGGTTTCCTCTGTCCCGAATACTCGATGATTTGTGGCCTCATGTCTATTTTCAGAAATACTTCAGGACATTTCATCGTATTAATAGATGCTAGATAAATTTAAATTGTACTCAGTGTCTTTTGTCTCTTTCTATCGCTACAAATTCAAAGTTCACCTTCAGCGTATTGGTGACGTCTGAACCGATATTGGGAACGATGAAATATTGGGTTTTAAGTGCTGCTGCATGTGGCATCTTCTGAATTCTTTGTTTTTGGCATTGCATTTGTTGTAAAACTATCTGCTCTAAATTGTTTATTCAAATAAACTGTAAGTAAAGATATTAATGAAGCTTATTCCATCACATTGACATAGCCTTGTTGAAATCAGGATTCTAAATGCTAACATAATCTATATGATTGATTGCTAGGTGTTTGCCATGGTTCTGTTCATAGCATTCTTAGATTTTACCTCAAAGACCCTGGAAAAAGATCCCACCCAGGGAGATCAATCATCAGGTAACGGACTGATCTCCTTCTGTAGCTTCCTCAGGGCTGATGAAATCCCAACCGGTCACTCAGGTCATCTCCAGGGGCGAGAGAAGCTCCTGATTTCTTTCTCTCTCTCTGTCTCTCATGCTCTCTCTCTCTCACTTTCTCTTACATACACTCTCTCACACACACACGAGACATGTGGAGATGCACACAGACACCCACATTTACACGCACATATACACATAGACACAGGTACATGAATAGGAAAGGTTTAGAGGGATATGGGCCAAACGCAGGCAAATGAGACTAGTTTTAGTTTGGGAAACTTGGTCAGCATGGACCAGTTGACCAAAGGATCTGTTTCCATGCTCAATGAGTCTGTGACCTACACAGACATACACACACAGCAACAGGCACATTTACACAGTGACACGTGTAAACACACATACAGAGACACACAAATACGCACACATATAATGACACAAACACTTTTACAGTGAC